ATTTTTCCATATTTACACAGGAGGAATCCTATTGATTCCAGTGGAATTACACTGAAATCCAACTAAAGTAACACTGTGAAGTATCAGAATTTTCTCCTTTCTTTCTCTCTTTCTTTCAAAAATATTAGAAACTTGAGATTCTCCTTCATGGAATCTGATGGGTGACTTAGTTAGCAAGAGATTCTTATCAGCTCATCTCTTCGCGTGAGTGTTTTGGGCCCTTGGTTCATTTGTGCATGGGTTTTGGTTTTATTACAACAGTGCCCATCTGAAGTAACTGATCTGAACTCAGGAGACTTTGAATTTACACTGGTCCAAGTGAAGGCAGAAATTGGACCACAGCACGTAGGCTGGAGAGGGTACCACAACAGAGCAAGGAATAGACTTGGGACAATGTCCCATATTACATCTCTATAGGTATAATGGATTTTAAATAATTATTTTAATATATTAACAACTAAACTGACATTGAGAGAATAAATTATTTTGTATTATTTTTTTGCTTGACAGATAGCAGTGGCAACCTTCCTCTTCTCATGTAAATAGGGTAGTTAAAATCTTGGACTGTTTCATGCACTGTGTACTGTCCAGCCTATTCATTGACAGAACCCCCTCAATACTTAAGGAAGGATACCCACTGATGTTACCGTACATAGGATTGAAATAAGGTCCTGCTAAGGCATGGTGCTCAACTCTGAGAAGAGGCTGAGGGATTTGGGCTTATTCAGTCTGCAAACAGGAAGAATGAGGGGGGATTTGATAGCAGCCTTCAACTTCCTGAAGGGAGGTTCCAAGGAGGATGGATAGAGACTGTTCTCAGTAGTGACGGATGGCAGAACAAAGATCAATGGCCTTAAGATTCAGTGGGGGAGGTCTAGGTTGAATATTAGAAAAAAACTATTTCCCTAGGAGGATTGTGGAGCACTGGAACGGGTTCCCTAGGGAGGTGGTAGAATCTCCATCCCTAGAGGTTTTTAAGTCTTGGCTTGACAAAGTCCTGGCTGGGAGGATTTAGTTGTGATTGGTGCTGCTTTGGGCAGAGGGTTGGATTCAATGACCTCCTGAGGTGTCTTTCAGCCCTAGGGTTCTATGTTTCTATGATTCTAACTCACATACCCAACTTGGAGAACGTGAGCATTCTATTGCCAATGGGAATTCTCATTGGCTTAAAGTCAGACATCTGTGTCAATATTTTGCTGATTGGGGCCTGAAAGAGCTAGCCCACCTGAGTCAGTTTGAAGCCAGCTAGCACAGATTAAAATAACAGAGAAGACAGTGCATCGGGTGCTTTACATATGTCTGGAATAGACCCTATGTGCACATTGGATTAACTAGCCAACTCTGGAATCTCTGGAATTCATTAACCACCCTCGTATTCAAGACAGCTCAAGTAGGCTAACGAGAGCATAGCTGCATCGGCATATCCTAAATAGAATTGCATGCACAGAAAGGGGAAGAGTTATGGTGCAAACAACATTAACATTGGTCATTCTTCATATGAGAGTGATTTCTTATACAGCTGGAATATTCTTTTAATAATTTGGTATAAGATACTATAGTTTTGTGTGCAACTGAGGAGTTCAACATTTCTAAAAATTATATTTGAATGTACTAATTAAATGTCCTGCTACCCACAGTGTAATGACATTGAGGACCCAGTCCTAAAAGTTCTCTGACCCTGAAACTCTCATTGATTTCAATAGGAGTTTTGAATGTAGAGGGCTTACATGCTCAAGTCATCGGACACTGTTGACCATATGCTCATGATGATTAATGACAGGTACATTGGAAGCACGTGTCTTTACCTCATGCCTCACTGCACAAGCAGGGTACATCATCAATCAGCATAACATCACAGTCTGCCATTCATTATTATTTAATTAAACAACACATATAATTTCTACAACTATTTTCAGTATAAATATTGTCTGCTGCCTCAGTGCCATTTAGCCTTGACAGGGGAGTATAATAATGAGAGAGGAATGAATTATACATTTGAGTTATACAACATACACAAATATGTTAGTCCTTTAAATAGATATCTATATCTATATTCTCTCTCTCTCTAAGGGTATGTCTACACTACCCTCCTAGTTCGAACTAAGAGGGTAATGTAGGCATACCGCACTTGCAAATGAAGCCCGGGATTTGAATTTCCCGGGCTTCATTTGCATAAGCGGGGAGCCGCCATTTTTAA